GGCTGTTGGTCAAAATTATCAATCAGCACCAGAAAAAGTAAGTAAGTATGTAAATTTTACCCCACCAGGACATCACACAGAGCGATAAACACGAGGTGACACAAAGTGCCACTATGCGGATGAGGATCACCCGTGGAGAGGTCCTGGAACCGCGTTCAACCGTTTGGTTATTTTACGGCCCCTGACAAAAGTCAGGATGGGACAAATAACTAAAAATTGCAAACCACATGGAAACGACTATATAAATACCAGTCAGAGAGCCCCCACCTCCCCCTTCCCTCCTCCCGGTTACCAGAAAGTTAAAACTAGAGCATATCGTGATCCTCACTCTATGAAACAAATGAACATTAACGAACGATACACTAAAGACAGTTCTATGAACATAACTGCACATTTGAAGATGATATTTTAATTTATAAATCTTATAAATCTACACTAAAAACATGGAGTCGCAAAAAGTAGTGTTCGTTTTGGTACAAAAAAGGGGAGAGAATGCACAATTTATAAAAAGCACAAGAGTACATATTACGTCCCTTGACATATAAGTGGCATAAGTTAACCTTAATTCTGGTAATCTGGTAATCCTAGTTTCAGCTTCATAGCAAACGGGTCACCCCATAGTTGCTCCGCTCCTGTGCCAACGAAAAACACACGTAGCTCACAGTGTCACGCCATGCAATCAACTCAGAAGCTGGGCGGCGAAACTATATCCTTCCAGTCTACAAATAGTGCAAAAATGCAACGGCCACAGTCTGGCAGAAGGACAAAAAAAAAACATTTGCCACGGCTTAAGGAAAAAAATAGGTGGCCGTGCCTAGCGTCCATTTTAACCTGAAGCATTATATGAGGGTAATAAACGGTCACCCCAGCAGTACCCTCATTATTAGCTGGGGAAGGGACTTGGGACATTGCATCCACCAGCAGGCGTCGCCCCTGCATCGACCTGCCTGCCTTCGTTAATGACTGTTCACCCAACAGCCATGCAGTTCTTTGGCACGAAGGAGACACCTTGAACTTGGGTTTCGGACTGCCGACTCCCTACAAGATGTTATTTTATGTTTTGTTATCACAATTGATGTCACTGCACATTGGGCATACCCATGCGTGCTCAGTTCTCCAAAGCAGCAGCCACTCAAAGTACTTCTACTAATGGTCCTCATGACAATTCTCCCATGAGAAGCTGGTTATATTTTCTCCTTTCTCGGCCTCGAAGACGGCAAAGACGTGCATCACCATGCTTAACTCCCATGTCAGTCGTGTTAGTGTCAGGGATTCCTCATTCCCCACTAGCCCAGTTCGTACAGCGTTGACGATGTCTGTTCTTTCCATGCTTTTTCCCGCAATCATTAGTGCAGTGCTTGCCAGTTTGTCCGCTCGCCCATTTCCCTTCACGCCCGCATAACCCTGAGTGTAAATCTAGGTTACGAAGGTTAAATAATTAAATACCACATGGAAAGTTTAAAGGAAGTAAAGTTGGCAGTAGTGATTATTGACCGCATCAGGCACCGACTGGCCGTTGGAGTAGATGGGGTGGTGAAAAGTGTTCACATCTGACACCCCAAACCCAGGTGGAATCAAAGTGGCGATTATTTAGATGTATACAAATAAAAAAAAATTTAAACAAAAACAAATGTACTCCAGTTGAAACTGTATTGTATAAAGTGATCGATGTTCAGCTGTCTCGACGAAGAAGAAAATCATGAGCGCCCTCGCAGACGTTAAAAATTACTCTGTTATTATGCGGTGGGGAGGGGGGAAAAAGGGGGGGGGGGGGGCATATCGAAAAGTAAAAAGTCAAAACAGTTTTTTCCACACTTTAAAAAATTAAACCAGAAACAATATGGCTATTGTCGCAGAACGGGCACATGAATGTGAATGAGCATTTAAGCAGATTTGCGTGTACAATAAAATAGATCCTTTAATAGATCTTTTAACTACTTTAACTAAAAATATACGGGATCCTTTAATATATGCTTTAACTAGTTTAACAAAAAATATACGGGCTTGGTTTTGACTTTTCAGGTGTTTAAACGTGATAGGATCGACCTGTACCGTGTTTTATAATATTTGACTCAGTATCTTTCCATAGATTAGATAATCGCTAGTGGAGAGCGTTCACAAAACAAGAAAACCAGCGACCATAATCAGATATAGACTCATTAAAATCATAAAGCAGCCATTAGAAGTAAGAACACAAACATTCCGACATTAGAAATGCAGTTCATCTTCGAGGGAAGCAGCAATTACAAACAGATCAGTAGTTATATTTGCGATTGATTTTATTCACATTAGGCACCACCAATTATGTGGCAACAGGCCACTCTCCATTGTCTGAATACACGGTTCACCACTCCACGTTGATCACAGTAGAAAAACATCCGAAATAGAATCAGCAGCTCACAGTATCGTGCCATGCACTCAGCCCAGTAGCTGGGGGACAAAACGATATTCTTCAAATGGAGGAAAATGTAACAACCACAGTCTGTCAGGAGCACAAATTTGCCTCGACTAAAAACAGTGAACATGCCTATTCTCCATTTTGACCGTCTCGTACCCCTGTACGTTATATGAATTAAACTCCATTTTAATTATAATAATTGTCTTGTACAATTAAAAGTTCTTTTGTCTTGTGAATTTAGATAAACCCACATAATTTGCAACTTAACGAAAGACACATATGCATAATGATAAAGCAACATCTGGAGACAAGAGTTCGGAACAAATTGTGATACAAAATAGGACCAGTGAACCGACGGTGAGTTTGTTTAGTAAGTGACAATTCAGTAGTGTTAATAAAAGCTGTATGCATGGTCACGTTTGTCTGCTTTCCTTAAGATTGTAGCCGTTCTGTACCAGTTACAGGGCGAACAAGGTTAAACATATTTAAATACATTTATATTAATATTGTATTGAAATAAATCACCGAGTCAAGTGAAAATGTGTGATAAACAAACATATATTGCCTTCACTGTCTGTCACTCACAGAGCAGCAGAAACAGGATGACCCAGCATTAAAACAAACAAGAAGGTTCCATTCTAGTAACAAAACATGTCGCTCACAGGTGGCGATGGCACCTCGCTGGAAGTCTGTAGTAACTAGTGCCAAAGGGCGCTGACACACGGGGGTGGGGGGGGGGGGGTTGATGAATTTGTGGAGCTAGTATAGCTTTTCTGCCCCTAATGACCGTTACTGGAATTCAGTATTTGTCTTGAGTCTTCCCTAAAGCGTCGGCTCTTCGGCTAAGTCGATGCGAACGTTTCGTAATGCCGGGATGCCGGGTTCGATCCCAGCTGCGGGCCATGCACCTTGTGTTGGTTTCGACAGTGGTATCAAGAAAGCCGACCTCCAGAAAGCAATGGCAAACTACTGGACGTAAATTTGCCTAGAAAAACCCCAAACAGCCAGGGCCTGTTGGGGTTGGTTCTGCAACGTCCTGTAAAGGATACGCAACTAACCTTCCCTGAAGCACGCTGATCAATAGCAAGGCTAACTTCTCCCATTGTTGGTTGTTGCCCCCACCCCCTTGGCTCCCCCATAGGCGCCGAAACCTAGTGGCTCGGGTCCCTTGAGGGCCCCCATATATTTTTAAAAGGGTAGTGAGAGTCGTGGTGGTGCTGGCGATGGTAGTCGAGGCTTCAACTTCTCTTCAGTCGGGTTGCCTTATATTTGTTCCCTTCCAGTGCCAGTGAAAATCTAATGAAATGTCCCTCACTGTCCGATTTGAAAAACTGAACACACGATTAGTCCCGGCACAATTAAGAAATATGCTCCTCGCCCCCCCCACCCCCCCCCCCAATCAATTTGTATGTGTGCTCAAGTGGTGATGAGGGTATGGGTTTGGGGGAGGGGAGAGTGCTATTAAGGACACGCCCTCCCCATTTAAAAAAAAAAATCTATCTAGAGAGGAGGGCTGAGGATCCCCTCTACCACATTGAATCTCGAAGCTGACGAGATGTGGTCGTATACAATTAAAGTACCTCCACAATTTCTGCCTAGAAGAGGGTACTTTCTTATTAGCCAACGACAAACAGGGGAAATCCACAGTCACGGGACAGTCACATATTTCAAAGGGTGGTAGATTAAGCGTATAGTGTTGGTTAGGGTTAGAACAACGCCGTCTCTAATAAATAGAGAAAGCCGTGGGTTAGATAAACGCCTTGGGAGAAAACACGGTCGTGAAGAAACGCGGTAACACACAGAAAACCTGACTGACTGACTTTCTACCCCACCAGGACATCACACAAGCGATAAACACCCGATGACACAAAGTGCCACCATGCGGATGAGGATCGCCGTGGAGAGGTCCCAGAAACCGCGTTCAGACATTTGGCCATATTTATGGCCTGCCTATATTGCGGCTCCCGGCGAAAGCCAGGGTGGAGCTTCAAAATAAATTCTGCGCCGCCCGCTGCTCCTACCACCCTCTGAAATACTGGACTGTCCCGTGACGTCATTTGTGGTCGGCTAAAAAAGAAAGCACTAAAAGTTGTAAGGTGGCAATGAAGAGGATTGAGCCCTACCAAACATTGTTTTTGTGCCCCCATCCCTCCTTTTCTCCCATTTCGTATCCCTTAATGCTGTGTCGGTATAATTAACACCACAAGAATGAGTCAGACAGGAGCAAGTCGCAGAAACCTCCTTTCATCATGTGTGACACACACACAGTTAGGGCACCTCTGCCGTTACAAAATTAAGCCTGCAGTCCACGGCGGTGGGGGCCGGGGTGTTTTGTTTTGAGTGTGTGCCCCATTGTTGGACCGCGTCCGACTTTAGCTATTATTAGTTCCAGCTGGAGCGGGTCGTAGTTGGACACGGGGAACACCTTTGAACTTTGAATGACTCGACCTGAATATTTTTCCTACAGTGTGGTTTGATTGGCGGATATCCAGGTCACAGGCGGCGCTTGCCGATAACCCGGGCCAGGCTGTAGGTGGTAAACAAATGGTCCTCCAGTTTCGTCAACAGTCAACACGGTAGCTCTGACATCACTGACTTCAACATGAAGATCGATCTGCATACTCACATTCTGCCGGAGAACTGGCCCGATTTAAAAGAGGTATGGTCAGTAAATTAGTCTCTTCTTTCAATAAGGACAGTATTACTTAAATTACTACAATTAAAATATACTATATAACTGTTACTTCACTTTTGTTGTCTTTTATTTATCGCTATCACAGCTAGCTACTAAGAATTAAAAAAAAAAAAAACGAATATAACCGAAAAAAGTTGCAATTTTTTTTATAGTCCTAATTTAGAATAACACGTCAACAAAGTTCTTTTTTTTTTTTCAAAGTAAAATTTAGTTATTAAGAAGATAAATATAGAACTGCTATTTGAGTATTTCAAATGACGTCTTTATAAATGAAGCTGTTCTGAATGAAATGTCTGTTTTGTAGACATAATCAAAACAAAAGATATCCACCACATGTGTTTGACTTTTACTGACGCGGAAAATCACAGCTGATGCCCAGGAATAAAGCAGTCATGTCAGTCAGACGGTACAATTCAAAGCCACAAAGAGGTTTAGTGTATACACTCAGAAAGTGTCTCAGATCTCTTTTCTTTAGTGTGTTCAGATTAATCATTAAACAGAAGATGTGTAGTTGTTAATCAAAGGACACATGGTGGTTGTTTTAACTTGAAAGAGTAAGAGCGTAATAAAAGTAAAGGACCTATATTGTCATTCCTCAGTGCTGAACAATAAACAAGCATATATTTCTATGCTTATTTTTTTTTTTTTATATACAGGCAAATGCATTCCAGCTTGGAAGGATTTTCCCAATTAGTCTACTTCTATGACATGCTTGTTGGGGAGGCAATAGGTCTCTATTCTTGATTTCCCTGCTATAGGAGGGCCCCAGAACCCACACAGGGATGGTCACTTCCATTCCATTATTGTCTATTCAGATTTGGATTGATTACAAGGGATCATCTTTGCACATATACACTTCCACAAATTCTGCAGCCTTTTCCCCACAGATCACACCTGAGGCTGGTGCAGGTAGCAAATATATGTGTACCTGTGCAGGAGTAATAGACACTATATATATTATTTTTGCAGGTGAAAGGTAAAAGTAGTAGTTATGTAAACAACAATATTCTGCTGAACACATGAGGTTAAAGTTAAAATGTATAGTTTTTTGTTAAATTTCAAGGTCGACCCAGCCTTGAGTGGGTACCTGATGCAGTCCCAGGAAGTAAAGGGGCCGCCTGAAGCTGACCATATCATCCAATTTGTTGTGCCGATTGCTCTAAAAAAGAATATAGGTCTAGCCCTATATGCCTAAAGGCATGGAAAAGGAACCTTTACTTTTTGTACTTTTTTATTTAATATTATATTAATTGGGAGCCACTTTGGTCAAACGGCTAGACACTCAGCTGCGGATCCAAAGGTTGTGGGTTTGGTTCCTGACAAGGACCAGATTTAAAAAAAAATGACCTTGGCTCCCAGGTCGACTCAGCCTTGAGTGGGTACCAGGTACAGTCCTGGGAAGTAAAGGCGGCTAGGCTGATGCTGACCACATCACACTCCAAGTGCCGTGTGGTCTATATAATATAGGTCAAGCCCTATATAACCAATATGCCCGAAAGGCATGGAAAAAGGCCCTTTACTTGTTTACTTACATGAATGAGAAGTGTGTAGTTTTTCTGTTATTTTCACTTCCCATTACCATGAACTATTTCAGAGGTATGGATATGGTGGATGGGTTCAGCTGCATCATCATTGCGTGGGCAAGGCAAAGATGGTGAAAGATGGGAAATTATTCAGAGAGATTGAAGAAAACTGCTGGTCCCCAGAGGCTCGTCTCAGGGAAATGGATGCTACAGGTAGAATGTTGTAGTAATGTAATGTAATCGTTTTTAAATAAATAGTAGCCTGTTCAGCCTTCAAGGTTATAGTTGGGATGTATAGTGTCCATTCTATTTTCAGTGTATGCTAGTTTATTTTAATTTTTTACATTTTTTAATGTTTCCGTGTCTGTCTCCACTCACTGGGAAACCACCCAGCCTCTGTTTGAGATGGCTCATGCCGTGTAGGTTACTCCCCTAAGTTTGATTTGACCGATCCTGGTCCTTCTGGCCAGACCAGTGCAGAAGAGCTACACTTTGATCTTAGCCAAAAGGCAGAGAAGCTAGTTTATATATCATTTAGTTATTTAACAGGTACTATGTTCCGTTACTATTACTATAATCTATTTAAAAACATTTTCTTCAAACTTAATTTACTATCTTTATAAGCACTGCATATATCACAATATGTATTTGCCAATGTCCTTATTCTTTTTAAATAGTTGAAATTTTATAATGTATAGTTATGCAGGTGTGACATTTTAAGAACTACTTAGACCAGGGCTGTTCAACTGGCAGCCCGAGGAGGCACAAAAAATGACCTGCCGGTAATTGCCAGTTGTACTGTATTAATTATATTTCCTTAGACTTCCTGCCCGTGATGATCCCTATTTTCACAGTTTTGGCACCTGAGTAAACTTAGTAAAATAGCACTGATTTAGACTATAGAGTTGTTTTATTCCTGAATAATAGAATTTACTATAATTACACAGACTGTAGGAGTATAATCTGTACTTAGAGTCTTTCATAGTTGTAAATAAAATGTAATACAGTAATGTTTAGAACAAAGGGAAGTCAAACATTTTGTTTTTAAAAAATGTATCTACAAATGCTGGTCTTTAATAACAATTGCTTAAATATATCATTCCCAAATATAGGGGATTTTCAGATTTTAAAAATAATAGTTCCCTATTGTGAATTTTAATAATGACACAAACAAGTTATTGCACAATTTTTCACCTGGCATATAAATGCGATACAGCAAGCATACCAGGCAATAAATGCTGCAAGGTATTTGTGTCCTTGTTTATTTAAACTTATGTGGTTAGAAATAAAAAACAAATAATATAACCCATTGAAAACAATATTTCAAGTGTTGTTTTGACTACTCAGGAGTTGACGTTCAAGTGCTGTCGACAGTTCCTGTTATGTTTGGTTACTGGGTGAGTGCATCACTTTTGTTGATTTGCCTAAGACAACTCTGTACTGCTGTTTTTGTGTGGCTTATCTGTCATGTAGCACTCTTCTATGTTAGAAAATTAAGGTTCATGCATTTACTTTTTGATGGTTGTGATGCCTTTAAAAGACTGGATTTTGATTCTTCTGTCTGATACAAAGAGTTGCATTGACTGGCACACTTGTTGCCAACATTGTGGTCATAGATTTCAGTCCACATCCAGTTAGATTTCTGAGATTGACCTGGACTCACAAGTTGACTCTGCCTGTCTAAAATAGGTATTAAAAAAATGACCTGAGAAATACAGATGGGCTGCATGATGTTTGCCACGTCCTCCATCGAGTGCCTGTTGGTCAGTCAAAATATGGTTCTGGCACCTTATGCTTTTTATACCTGAAGGCTTAAAAGGGGTCATTTATATTTTGCATTTTGGTACTTTATTTTTAATTCATCACAAACAGAGGAAATCCCATAGTTCCCGGGAGGAAAGTCCAATATTCTAGGGGTGTTATGGGTTTGAAATTAGGGGTAGGGTTAGTCGGTGTCTCTGAGGCAGTAGGGGATGGCAAAGATACTTACCTCAGCCCATAACACCCTTAGAATATTGGACTTTCTCTGACACTCTGGAATTTACTTTGTTTAAGGTGAATTAAAAATAAAGTACCTGTATTTCTAGGGAAACTGTCTTAGTCTGTCAGTTGGAACCAGCTACTAAATTTCTCCGTTAATGGACAGTTCTGAACAAGAAGGATGTGCAGCACCACAGTGTGCATGTATTTCTATAGTCCAAGTGGGGGAAAGGATCTGGTTACCTCACCTCATATTGCTGTGATTTTGTTTATACTTGGACATGATACATACATGTTGATAATTTTCAGAACCATCCATGAGGGATAGGCACTGAAAAGCCAAAGTAAGCTAGTTAACCATATTTATATTGCCATGGCCTTTTAAACAAAAATTGAGGTTTGGCACATTCGTGTAAAATTGGGAACAGATAATATATTTGAAGATCCAACACTTCTAACCTCTTGAATATTGAGTGTTGGCCAGATCCCTGGTAACCTGTTGTTAACATGGTAGCAGGCATGCAATCCCTAATCTGTTTTTAAATGCCATTTCTTATCTATTTCCATGTGGATGGGATTTTTTTTTGGGGGGGTAGGGGTTGGGAGTCCAAATTTACCATTAAGCAGGGCTATGGTTACACGGGAGTTAGTGTTCTTGCTGCCAAGATAGTGATATGGGTTCAGTCCCCTGCAGTGGCAGAATTCTTTCTCACAATCACTTCAGCTGTAGGGTCAGTATAGCCTGATTAACAGTTTCCCCCCAAATAAGACCTGTCTTATATTAGTTTATATTTAAGAAACTGCACAGTGATTATTTTCATTTGATGTGGTAATTTTTTCTTTCTCCGATATGAAATTCTACATTTTATTCAAATAGTCATGTTATCTTGGAGCTTCGTCATAACTTTTTAAATTCTAAGGTTGGGCTGAATTTCTAATGCCTCCATTTTCCATTCAACCTTTGACCCCAGTCTTCTCTCATTCTAGCTGACCATCTTATCTAGTTATTATTATTTAGCTAGGGCTTATATTAAAGGCATCCTGAGAAAAAAAAAAACTGTGCTGGGGCTTATTTTTGGGGCAGCTCTTATTTTCAGGGAAACACAGTATTGGTAGAATTTTCTGAGAACTGTTTAGGAAGGAAATGCTAACTGGTCACTTAATTCTGCATGTCATAACTTGTAATACACCCCTATTGAAGTGGTTTCATAATGCTATTGTCAACATTTACCAGGGTTAGATTCCCATGGTGGGCAATTTAGAAAAACAATGATGTTCTTGTGGCTTTCAAAAATTAGGATGAGAGTCACCCAGTGAAAGAAATAAAGGCTTCTTCTTCTTCTTCTTTTCTCTACTCCTGAAATGCTTCATGGCTTGATTATAAGGGACTCACAACATAATATTCTCATAGTTAGCAGTGCATACATTTCAGCCAACCTCCTTTGTGGTGACAGTACAGTTTACCCCAGTTGCTGTACTGCTATGGCGCTGTGAGTATCTTTGCAGTTACCCAGGTTTTTAAATAACGCTTATGTAAGCTACGTATTTACCAGTGAAATTGTTTTTGAGAACAACACCATATTCAAAGGGAGAAAAACAAATGTCCCTGCTTCATTACCCTTGGCTGGGGATTCGAAGGTCATAGGTTTAGATCCAAACAGCTGAAATTTTTCATCAAAAAAAAAAACACATTGGCTCCAAGGTTGACAGAGCCTTAAACAGGTGCCAAGTTCATCTTCTTTGTTCACTGGATATAAGCTCTGGCGATACGTCCTATCCGTTCGTCTGTTTGCCTTTTGCCAGGGCCTGAGTTTTGTATGCACATCCGTTTTATTAACTTATTTGTGTGCAGTTGGTTGTTGCTTGCCACTTGGGCAGTTGCATTCTGATTTTGAAGGAAGCTGAGAGTTAGTCGACCCCTACCACCTGCTTATTTAGGAGGCCTGGGTCCGTTCTTGTTTTCCCCACAGTAGGGCTACGGAACCCATATGATGATGGTACCAAATTGAGTCAACCACTGAGAACTGATTGGTTTGTGAAATTTAAGTCTAGCACTATATGCCCAATACACCTGGAGGAAAAAGGTGCTTCACTTTACTTTTACCTGCTTCAGTAAAAAGGGAAGTGTAATCTGATGGTAGCTGCCACCGCCGTTGTCTCCATGCATTTTAGTAGGTCATGGCCATATTGGTGTGTGTGTTTGGGGGGGGGGGGGGGGGGGGGGGTGAGGAGTTTCCTTTCTTCCACTCTCTAAATATGTGTGGACTAGGGTATTTCTGTTTTCAGCTTAGTATACTGTTTCTTTTAACAAAACAAACAAAAAACAAACACACACACAAAAAAGATCATTGTGGTTGGGAATTTATATTCTATCAGTGTTGATTTTTCATTTGTTAAGTCTTCCACTAGTTTGATAATCATCTGTACACACGTGACCTAATTGTAACTGACTCACATAGCATGTTGAGAAAGGTAGAGACTGGTATGCTCCGTGAAGAGTGGCAAGCATCGCTTTAGAGGTGCCTTTTGGGGAGGGAGGGGGGGGGGTGAGTGAACAGTATGGAGCCACAGATTATTATCATGTTTGAGAAGAATGGTGCTGCAAGGAGTGACCAAGGAATCTGGCTGACGATCAACATGTAAGGGAAAGGTGAGACACATACACAGCCAGACTGTTACTGGTATCATCAGAATTTGAACTCTGGGATTGCTGCTAAAAATGGGGATGAAGCGCTTATAGGAAAGTCCTAAGTGCTGTGATGTCACTTCTAAATTAAACATTGTCAGGCTTAATGATTTACATGTATTCATAAGTATCACTTTAATATGCGGCGTCCGTGGCTAAGGCGTTGCGAGTCCGACTCGTAAGCCAGCATACCGCGATCGAAGCCCACTGCATGCTGGGTGGATTTGTGTCGTGGTATGGGACGTCGCAGGTCGACCCAGCCTAAAATGGGTACCAGGATGGGCTGTCCTGGGAAAGTAAAGACAGACGGCGTAATGCCGACCACATTTCCCACCGAGTGCTGATGGTCTGTAAAAATATGGGACGCTCTGCCCATATGCCCGATGCGCCGAAAGGCGTGAAAAGGGATCTTTACTTACTTTACTTACTTATCACTTTAATATACTGTCATGTTAATACTTTCTCAGCATGTCTTTGCATATTGTTAATACAGATTATACAAATACAAGTTTAATTTTTGTGCATATTGTTTATGTAGGCAGAACCAAAGGATACATTAGATTTGTGTCAGATTCTGAACAACCACATAGCAGCCATTGTCAAGAAATATCCATCACGTTTCATTGGATTTGGTACAATCCCCATGCAAGCTCCAGATTTGGCTGTCAGAGAACTGATCAGGTGCTGCAAGGAGTTAGGTAAGTTAGATTAAGATAAAGTTCCTAGGCAGTATAACATACAATAGTTTGCCATTGCTTTCTGAATGGTACAGAGTTAAAAGATATGCAAATTGCTGCAGCTGATTTCAAACACAAGTGTGTTAAGATTTTAAAACTGCATGAGCAACTGCTAGATGGGTTCAAAGACAATGGTTGGAGTCCCTGAGGAAAAAGCTTTTGACATGAATCAGTTTCATTTTTGTACCAGGGCACTCATGGGTAAGAGGAAATGAATGAGCAGATTGGCTTGATGGCATGGCCACAGTAGGTACAGGACAAGCAATGCACTGGGCTGATTTCTCAGTGCTCTCAAAGAGATAGGATGAGTGAATGATTCAGAAGACTTCAAAATACTACAAGAACTTCAGGTCACAAGAGGTACTGCCAGACATAAACACTATAGATAGCCCCAAAAAAAGTGTGCTTAGGAAGGTAACAGGATACGAGGTCTGTATTGTTAGATCAATCACAACTCAAAAGGTTATTGTATTTTCTCTCCCTTGGGTAAGGCTAGTGTGCTTCCCTGCCTGAAACCGTTAAACAAGTGGGATTTCAGGTTCGGTCTATGTCACCCAACATTTGGCATTAACAGAGAACATGTTGAATTAAGAGTTAACATCTCAACATTCGGGACACCCCCATGAGCACTTCATCCCAATCTTCAGCAGCAAGGAAAGAGTTAAAATTCCGATGGTACCAGTAACTGTCTGATTGTGTATCCCGCTCCCCTTTCCCTGAGTGTCGAGCGTCAGCTAGATCCCCTTGTAACTACTCGCAGTGAGACTCTCCTCAGACTGTAATGACCTTAACAGAGACCATAAATATCAATATTTAACTAAACAAAATATGTATTTTATAGAACAGTTTCAAATATAACAGCATACAATGTTTGATGTTGTTTGTTAAATGCTTTGTTGCTAAATTAGTTTAATCTGTGTGTACAGTTTCTTTTTGACATCCTCCGAAATTTAAAATATCTGAAAAATCACAAATATTGTCAATAATGAATATTAAAAAAATTTTAATGGTGAACTTATTATTGTACATAGTTATTTTAGTATATTGACACATTTAGTGTATGGATGTAATTAGTGTTGTGTAATTAATGATAAAATACTATTTATGTTGCTCTTTTTGGCCTATTGCCATAAAATCATTTATATTTATCAGTTTTTACTGTATTGTAAACAAGGTGTTTTATTTATTTGGCCCTAGATGAGAATTTTCATATAATTTAAGGTAGAGAATCGATTTCACACTAATCGAGCCAGCAATATTTTTTCTCAGCAGAAGTTTAATGGTTTGGATGCTGATTGTCCTTTGTTACAAACTACTTCTAGTGTTATCATGTGCTGACCAGTGATCAAAATTTCAAATTCTAAGACAACACATGTGTCATTAAGAGATTATTTGTGTGTCAGTGTAGCAAGTGTAATAGTTACATTTGATGTCAGTGTCTTTTTTAACTATAACACAACGTCTGGTTTGAGAATGGAGGTGGAGGCAGTCATTGCTGCCTTCTGCTGGCTTGAGAATCAGCTGTACACACAGGCCGTGATTGTAACTGACTCACAGAGCATGCTGAGAAAGGTGGAGACAGGCATGCTCCATGCAGAGTGGCAAGCATCACTTCAAAGGTCCTGGCTAGTTAGCATCCTTTAGATATTTTCTCCAGGTTATGCCAGTTCTGCGCCACCTGGTGATAACCTGATGTATGACAAGCTGGATGTTATGAGGGCTCTTTGGGAGCGAGTGAAAAGTGCAGAAGCACATATAGATCATTTCGGTCCGAGGAGAATGGCACTTCGAGGAGTTACAAAGGGGTCTGGTTGACACTCAAGGGAAAGGCGAGACAGATATACAGTCGGACAGTTACTAGTACCATCAGAATTTTAACTCTTTGCTTGCTGCTGAAGATTGGGACTGAGCACTTATGGGGGTGTCCTGAGTGCTGTGATGTCGATTCTTAATTTAACATTTTAACTTTGCCAGGCTTTCCTGGAGTTCAGATTGGATCTCATGTGAATGACTGGAACCTTGACGCCCCTGAGCTGCAGCAGATCTTTGCAGTAAGTTCATAACTAAAGTTTATGTAAGGTATGTTGATTCAGTAGACTAATGGAAATGTATGCCATAAACTTTTGCTTATAATCACAAATTTTCAAGTAATAAAAATTATAAAAATCCAGTTCCTTGTGGGTTCCGGGGCCCTGTTATAAGAAAACAAGAATAGACCCACTGCCTACCCAAAAGCATGACATAAGAGTTGACTAATTGGGAGCTTCCTTCTAAGTTGGAATGCATCTGCCTGAGAGGCAAGGAACCAGCAGTCTGCATACAAATGAGTCAGATCTGTAAAATGTATGCACACGTAACACTCAGGTTCTGAAACAGGGCTGCAGTCCAGAAGTGGATGAACAACCAGAAATTTCCGTCAGAGTTTAATACTGGTGAAGAAGAAGATTAAAATCCAGTATGATGAAGCAAACCAAGAATAGATACAGTTAGCTCCCCTCTTACAGTATGAGACAATCCCAGTCAGCACAAAGAAAAATAAAACAAATAAAATTAGAATCTGTCATCTCAATATGGGACACAGTTTTTCGTTATTGCAAAGCCCCACCCCGGTTGTAGTCTTGGGCCCTAATATAACATGACGGTTGAACAGGGTTTCTGGGATTTCCCCCCGGGTGACTCATCCGCAGGGTGGCACTTTGTGTCACCTGGTGTTTATCACTTGGTGGATGTCCTGGTGGGGTTTAATGTCACTCTCAAAGAAACGTCTTATACGAAGTTAGTAATCTGCACTCTGTGCTACCACTGGTAGGCATGGCCACTCACAAAGAATTATTAACCATAGAAATGAGATATCTGAGAAAGGCTGCAAGAGTGACCAAAAGAGGTAAAATCAGGAATGAAGTCATAAGAAAAAAGTCGCCACATAACCAATACTATATTACATACAAAGATAGCAAATAAAATGGTTTGCCAGTTTAGAGAGACTTGTCTTGACAAGTCATACCATACAGGGCTTACAGTAAAAGAGGAGAGGGGGTAGAACATGAGGTAGACCAAGAACAAGATTGGAAAATGACATCCGAGAAACTCTACAATTGTATGATGTGTCTATGGTCAAAGCAGTCAGAAAAGCAAGAAGCCAAACCTTGTATCTCCCTCAACACACAAAGTGGTAAAAGAGGAAATGAAAAAGAATAAAAATTCTTTTAATGTCCCTTTCACCAGAAAATTCTGGCTTAATCAATTAAGCAGAGTATTAACAAGCATTTACCAATTGAGATACGGTAAACACGTGTCACTTATCAGTGTTATTAAGTTTAAGTGTTAAGGTGGGTTAAGTATGTTGGAAGATTGAATGAATGCACACAGAGTACAAATACAAAAAAATATAAGCCCAAACATTTACACTGTAAATAGAGTGCATTTCAGAAAAAAACATGTTTACTGGAATGACATCTCACAAAATTGGAGGCAAGAGTTTACTTGTAGAATAGTCACTGCGGGTCCTTCTGAGGAAGAGAGATAATGGAAGAATAAAAAGGCATTTGTTAAAATAGTACTTTGAAAACAGTAATCATTGTCAACTCTTTTGTGATTAAAGTAAATAGATGACTAAAGAAACTAAAGAAATCAGCAAATTGTTTTCTAATGTATGTTTTGTTTTGTTATTTGATCACACTTTAAGATATATGGTTTCAGTTTCTTTGCTAACAGTTTTGTTTAGGCAGCAGCTTAAACCTTATTCTTTGCAATTTGAAACTTCTGTGAGATTTTTAACCTGCACATGGAACTCTTGATTTTTGCCCTCTCATCTGGGAAGACTTTGCTAGGCAAGAAATCAAAAAGGTGTTTGACGTCATTAGAAACCCGCTAGCCTTTAACTGTAATTGAACTTGATAATTTTCATGCAAATACCATATCCTCTCAGCCATGCCACCCAGTTGATTTGATTCAGGGTGACTAGTTACATTTGTTAATGTTGTCTGTAGAGCCGTATATCTGTTTATTACAGGCGGCAGAAGAAAATAACTGTGCAATATTTGTACATCCTTGGGATATGGAACAAGGTGGACGCATGAAGAAATACTGGTTTCCTTGGCTTGTGGGTGTGTAGACTGTAAACTGTTGCTTTAGTTGTTCTGTTATTATTCTTAATGCTCCTTGTGCTGGACAAGCTAAATGTTGTCAAGGCTCTTTGGGAGGTAGTAGACAGTGCTGAGGCACACTTAAATTATCATGATCTGAATAAAATGGTACCATGAGGAGTGACTAGAAGATCTGGCCGACACACCACGCCAAGAAGGAAAGGCAATATGGACTTACAGTCAGACTGTTATTGGTACCTTCGGTGCTGGAACTCTGCTGAAGATGGAGACAGAGTGCTTAAGGAATGTTCAGAGAGCCATGATGTCGGTTCTTAAAACCAAACTAAAATAAACGTTCTTAAGAGTTGAGATGAAAGCATGACTTAAATATCACGTCTGGTTGTAGTTGCATTTCTGTTATTGCCAGCTTGTGAATTATGAAAATAGAGATTTTTCAATTGTGAAAGAAAGTCCTCTGAAAAATGTATACATATACAGTGTGTAGGAATGTAACAGTTTTTTAAAGTTTGTATGCTGTACAGTTCTTCTGCTTTATTTATTATTATTTTTTAAATTTATTTCTTTTATCCTTAAGTCTGATGTTAGTGTAAATGCTGTTGCTGCTGTCTGTAAATTTATTTCTAATTTTTTTCTTGTTCTTCAGTATTGTAAGACATCACCTGCCTCCATCAGTTTCTCTGACTGGCCATTTCTATCCGGTTGAATACTCCCAAGTGGTTAAAGGTCTGCCTGTATATTATCTCCTCACCATATTCTTGCTTCATGGTCTGCTTACATTCAGCTACTTTGTAAATACAGCTTTTGTCTGTTATCCACACCATTCTGTCTATGTACCCCAACCATTGTAGTCTGTTATCCACACCATTCTGTCTATGTGCCCCAACCATTGTAGTCTGTTATCCACACCATTCTGTCTATGTACCCCAACCATTGTAGTCTGTTATCCACACCATTCTGTCTATGTACCCCAACCATTGTAGCCTGTTTGCCCCCCTTGATGCCATAACCCTAGTCAACAACCAGAATGTTTCAGAAATGAATATAGCTGATCTTTACTAATGTTGGCTTGATGAAAATGACATTAAAAAATTTGATCAGCTCTAGTTTTCAAGATAAAGGCTACTAGTTTATTTAAATATGGTCAGTTCATGTATATTACACACCTGTTTTTTTTTTTCAGTGCTAATAAAACCAGTACGAGGAGTTATGATGCAATCTTACCTATGATATCTCTTTTTTTAAATAATTATCTTATCTCTGATAAAAGGTCATTAGTGCATTTGTCCTTATCACAAGTGCTATAGTTCGAAATGCCTAGGACATGTCTGAATACCGCTAATAATTTCTATTATATATGTGGTGAGGTGACATTTCTATCACAAAATCAGATAAAACTCAAGTGATTAAGAAGGCGTACAGTTTGTAGTTTGGCTGTAGAATAAGAGATACAGATATGAGCTAGGTGACACACATATGCTGTAACACACGTGCAGCACATAATAAACTGTGGTTAACTGGCAAAAGGCAAGCTGTGCCTTTTTTCAATCCACTGTTTATCATCTTGGTAACTTTTCAGTCGTCCTTCCAGTTGGGAAAGGCATTCGAAGAAGAAAAAATTGACTCTGGAAAATCCAAACATCTTGTCTGCAATGTGTTCATTACCACACAGTGATGACCTACCAGTTCCCACTGTGTCAGAATCATTGTCAGCTGCTTCCTCAGATCAAGAAAAGTTAATTGGTTGTGCTAAACCTCAGGTGACCCAGATTTTGAGCAAACTACATCCACCCAAAATAATAATAACCCAACATGAACTAATGATTATGTCATCATGACATCGCACAAATAAATATACAGAAATTAGAACTTGTAAAGAGCTTCAAGAACAATAGAATAGTAATTTTAAAATGATAAAATATCAACTGTTGTCTTTTTGCCCAGGAATGCCTTCAGAAACAACAATAGCTATTTGCTCTATGATATTTGGTGGTGTGTTGGAAAGGTTTCCTAAACTACGAGTTTGTTTTGCCCATGGCGGTGAGTATGATAAACGGTCACTGTCAGCTGTTTAAAAACTAATAATAATAATCATAAGCATCTGTTTAATTTTGAACATTTAGGTTCCTTTTGATTTAATATTGTACATATTTCAAAAAGAAAAGGATTTTTCCTTTCCAGTGTATTGTATGGTAGACAACTGAAGGTCACACTGACAATTTTGTTGCAGGATACCCAGTGATGTGCCCCTAAAACCTGGCAGTAAGAAAATACTGAATGTATTGCAACACTGTAAATTGTATGCTGCTAACAGAAGCAATCTAGCCTGTTCCAACCTCTTTGAAAATAAAGCTGTGTGCTACAGGAGGAGATATATGCACAATAGCTTTCCTCAAAGCTATTGGTTTCCTGGTATTCATTTTCTGACTGAAGGATCAAAGAAGATGCTGAAAATTTGGAGAAAAAAAAAGAATTAATATTAATTCTTCTTTTTTTTCTTCACATTTTCAGCATCTTTTTTGATCCTTCAGTCAGAAAATGAATACCAGGAAACCAATAGCTTTGAGGAAAGCTATTGTGCAGATCATATCTCCTCCTGTACCACAATCATCATGTACCTTGATGATAAACCTTTGCAGTCATGATTCGACTTCCCACATGATCACCACAATCATGGATCCGGTCAGTGCTCTTGACTTGCCTCATCCATATGTCCAAGTCATCCGTGTATTTTTCTCTTTGTCTTCCCCTTGCTCTTTCTATCAAAATTTGTCAGCTTTATCAGATTCTTGAAAAAGGCTCAGGCCAGAAGGTTGCTTATCTTGTGTGTGTATGTTGTTCCCCTTCCTCCTGTTGTTATGGTTTTTAGGTACAGATCAATGGGTTAATTACCATAAATATTAACTGACTAATTTCTTAGTCTACAGTTTTCATCCTCTCAAGGAACTCATTAATTTTTTTGTCATTTAGTGATATTCTTTGAATTTTCTTTTTTTGTTTATTTATTAAATGAACACAATTTTGCTGCCAGTAGGTATTTTTTAACGGGTTTTTTTTCACTTATTTTCCATGTATCGCATGCATATAAAAACATAAATTCTTGAGGTGTTTCAAGATCGTTTTATGTTGACTTTGATAACTGTTTATTATATATATATATAAATTAAATATTGTTTTGTTTCCCACTACAATTAACATTTTTTGCATTTTTGAATCAGTTAAAACATCTCCCCATGTGTGTTCTGGAACCCCAATGTGAGGGGCGCCCCCCCCCCCCCCAAAAAAAAAAAGAATGGGTCCCCTGCCTCCTTAACAAGCATGTCGTAACCAAGTAGAGGTGTCGACTTTGAAGTCGGAGTGCTTAGGTCTGAGAGGCAAGGAATCAGCGGTCTGCGTACAAATAAGCCAGATCTGTAAAACGAATGTGCAACAAAACCCAAGTTCTGGAATTAGACTTAAGTCCACACTTACACAGACAATCACAACATGCTTCTGAAGTTTACAGCAGGTGAACACTGATAACAAGAAGGGTCTAAAACAGCTGTTCAGACTTAGTGACAAGTAATCAAGCAATATGTCGAAATAATAAATAATTTATTTAGTTTGTCAAAATAGCTCTGAGGTGTTTCAAGATCGTTTTATGTTGACTTTGATAACTGTTTATTGGACATTTTTACAAATACTGTGCTGGTTAAATTTGATAAAGTGTTATTTACTATAAAATTCATTTTGTGATGTATGTATGTGTGTGTGTGTGTGTGTACACCACCACCTATACTACGAATCAGTGTACATATATTTATGCATATTTTTTAATAATTTTACCAGGTGGTTCATTTCCTTTCACTGTGGGTCGAATTGAACATGGATTTAATGTGAGACCAGACTTATGTGCCACAGAAAACTCTGTAAACCCTCGAAATTATTTGGGCAAGATCTACACGGATTCTCTGGTCCATGATGCTGATGCGTTGAGACTTTTAGTTAATGTGATTGGCCAGGTAAGAGCCAACACAGAAATGTGTTTAAGTGTTGTTTGCTTTTTCAGAATCATCTATCGAAAGGAGGCTGTCTTGAAAAAGAAAGTTAAAAATAAAACTGGTTAAACACATTCTTCTTCTGCTTCTTTGTATGTCTGTTAATAACTTCTTCTTCTTCGCATTTACCAGCTGTAAACTCCAGCGGACGGTTCTGGTTGCTTGTCCACTTCTGGACTCCAGTCCTGTTCCAGAACCTGAGTGTTGCATGTGCATCCGTTTTACAAATCTGACTCATTTGTATGCAGACTGCTAGTTCCTTGCCTCTCAGGCAGATGCACTTCGACTTTGAAGGAAGCTCCCAATTAGTCGACTCTTACGACATGCTTTTGGGTAGGCAGTGGGTCTATTCTAATTTTCCCTATAATAGGGCCTCGGAACCCACAGGGGTATCTGTCCATATGTGTGTCTGTGTATGCTTGTGTGTCTCTGTATGCATCGATGCCTGTGTGTATGTGGGTGAGTATGTATTTTTGCAAGTTAGTGAGTGAGTAGGTGGTTGTGTGTATGTGCGTGAGTCTGGGCATGCATTTCGCTGAATGCAACTGCTGTGTGAGAGATTGGTGTTTGGAAGGGCCAAATGTATTGCATGCCCAATTTGTGACCCTTTGAAGATAAAGATTGTATGTTTATTCTTCTTCTTCTGCCTTTTATTTGCTGATGGAGATGCCTTTCAGATAACACAACTTTTTGTGGAAGGGGGGGGGGGGGGGTGGAATTTAATGTTCTGTTCATTCAATTAATTGGATGGAATCTCCATAGTAAACATTGACTGCAGTTAATCTCTATCACTTTCTGTTTCTCTCTTTGGTTTTAACACTCTCAAAATGCTGCTTGTCCATTCACTTGTGTCGCTGTCTACCTGTTGTTTGCCTGCCTTCAGATTCTGTCTTCAGTATGGTTTTAATAAAAATATTTCACTTGTCTTTTTCAAAATTCTTGTAAAACTCTCGGTGCTTTATTAATATCCTACCCCAAACAGGGGAAATCCACAGGTCACAGGACAGTCTTAATATTTCAGGGGGTGGTAGATAGGCTGCATGCAATAATACCTAGGCTCCACTTTCTCGTGGGACATAGGTGGGTTGGGGTTAGGGCCAGTTTTAGATGTTTTGGCGTCATTAAAAGCATCAGAAAGCAGGAAAACCAAGTCTTACCACCCTCTAAAATGTTGGACTGTCCTGTGACCTCATCTGGGGTAGGATATTAATAAAGCACCAAACTCTCTGTTGCAAGACACTCTAAAACCTCTTTTTGTTGTTTGTTTCCATGATATACAGCATATTTTTCAGTAAATCCATAACTCCAAAGCCTCAGTTTGACTCTGTAGATGTGTCTTCATTGTCTGTGTTTCTTCCCATGTCAGTTCCAGGGTCCTGTTTTGGGGATAGAAGAATAGACCCCCACCCCAAACGAGCATGTCATAAAAAGCAAATTATTAGGGGTCTTTTCCTTCAAAGTCACAGTGCACCTGACAGAGAGGCAAGGAATCAATAGTCTGCATACAAATAAACCAGAGCTGTAAAACAGATGTGCATGCAAAACACAAGTTCTGAAACAGAGTTCAGAAGTAGATGAAGATGCAGACCTTACTACCGATGACTAGTTGCCAGTTTACATTAAGAAGATGATGCAGATCTAGGCTTCTCCTCTATAAAGTAGGTTGAGTATACAAAACATTTGTATGTTTATTTGTTAATGTCCCTTGCATTCTCTGCTCTTCAGCATCGCGTCGTTCTTGGCAGTGACTATCCATTTCCACTTGGGGAGCACCATCCTGGAAAACTAATTGAGTCTGTTGAAGATTTTAGCCCAGAATTGAAGGTAAACTTTAATTTGTTTTGTTTTATTAATTAGTTCATATTGTGTGGAGCAACAGCACTTGATTTTCTCTTGGCTTATATGACTTTATGCCTGTTTTACTTGGGCTCCTATGGGAAGCAAAGAATAATAAACTAACATTCATGTAGTTAAAGACAGTAGAGAAAGGCGGGCGTAACTGTGACTAACTTATCCTCCAGAAAACATTAGCTGCAGAAACAGGTCTTTAGAGAGCTTGTTGTCAGTTGGTTTAGAGCCTTTGCTTCATTGGAAATTGAAAAACAGAATTCTGCATCAAGAAGTGGTATCATATATCAAATTTACTCTGTAAGTTCAAGGACTTCATTTGGGGCAAAAAAGGAATAGACCCACTGCGAACTAACAAGGGTGTCCTAAGAGTAAACTAATTAGAGATGTTTTCTTTGATGGCAGAATACATCTGCTAAAGAGGCGGGAACCAACAGTCTGCTTACAAATAAGCCAGATCTGTAAAATTGATGTGCAAGCTGGAACAGGACTAGAGAAGTTCAGAAGTGGACAAATTACCACAGCATTGGACTGGATTTTACAGCTGGGGAGCAAGAAGAGAAAGATATACCTAATAATAGCCTTACCACACATGGAAGGATTCTGTACCTGTGTTTACTTTTTTACATGGGACCATCAGAACTAGAATTCTGCATTGGCTGCTGAAGATAATAACAGAGTACTTTTGGAAATATCACAAGTGCTGTGATGTCACTTCTTGACTGAGCTTAACTCAGCTCTACATTTATATCTGCTTACAGTAAATGATACAGAAAGCTCAAATATGAATATTTTTTTTTTTCATGATCATAAAGTCTCTGTTTTGGAGCATGGTGACATTTTGTTAGGGTTTTTGTGGGTGAAGTAGTTAAGCTGTTTGCTCATGTTGTGAAGGTTACAGTTGTGGTTCAGGATCTGTTTCATGGGTGCAGTGTTTCAGAGGTTCGGGATCATCGCCCAAACTTTGGAGTTTTCTGCTTTTTTGTGTGTGTGGCAGTATTGGTGGCGTACATCTGGTATACGGTGGGGAAACAGATATTTTTTCAAAAAAGAAGAAGAAAGAAAACTGTCTGCTGTCTCTGCAATAAAGTTTGGCTACAGGTTGCCTCTTGCTGTCCCTAGGAACATTATATGGTGGGGCTCCAATCGCTTCCATGGTGTGACTGTACCATCCTCTAAAAACTGAGAATGGTTTAAAAATATAATTCAAACCCTAGTACTCAAAAATTGTTAAACTCAGTCACTATCCTCGGCGGCACAGAGCCACACTTGCAATGAAGTCGATTCTCCTGCCTTGAAACACATTTTATTGAAACTGTCTCCATCTCTTTTTCTTTTCCTTTGTGAATATGCTGCTTATGTCTACAATTTTTTTAAATACTTGAAATATTGCAGTCATTGTCCAGTTGTGTTATTCTACATCACACTTTACTTACAGCTGATTACGTTATTCGTTTTACTATGTATATATATATATATATATATATATGTGTGTGTGTGTGTATTTATATGTATATATACATATATGTGTGTGTATATATTTATATATACACACACACATATATATATATATATATAAATGTGTGTGTATATATATATATATTTATATATATATATATATATATATATATATATATATATATATATATATATATATATATATATATATATATACACACACACACACACACACACACATATATATATATATATAAATGTATGTATGTATGTATACATTGTGTGTGTGTATTATAAATTGAAATAGAAAGATATTTGTGTGTCACTGGGATTGTCATTTCAGTTTTCTGCCATCTAATTATTCAACATTTCTTTCACAGCACCAGCTTCTTGCTGGCAATGCCTTGGAATTCCTTGGTCTCAGCTTTAGCGACTACACAACTGCCTTAGCTGAAGGAGGTGTTGAAATTGAAAATGAAAAAATAGAAGTTGATTAAATACTGTTTTGTTCTGTGTTCTGTCTGGGATTTTTGGGGTTTTATTTTTCTGACTGTAAACTATTATTGGAAATACAGAACTGTTAAAAACTGTTCTGTACATTTTATAAAGGATGTAAATGATCTTGTAAAGATAGTATATACCAGGAATTGTAGATCTTTGCATTTATTGTGCGCCAGTAAATTGTGACGTCTGTTGATTTTATTTTTATTTTTATCTTGAAAGGGTTTGAATTAATGAACCCACTATGTTGTTGTGTATATGAAGGAATTATAATATAGTCTCTTCCCCCAACCCCCCTCCCCTTCCCTCTTTCGTTAACAATTGAAACTAACAGGCATACACATATTGCTGCCAAGGGAAGGTATGCTACACTATTCAGTTATTGGGGATAAGTACCCCATAAAATGTCTAATATGAAAAAAAAAAATGTGTATGAACTCCTAAAGGTTAAAATCACTGGACATTCACAAATACAGCTGTAGGTGTTGATTGATTTTACTGAGTGAGTTTAAGTGTCCACTTATAATTTGGCATCTAATTTAGTTGTGGCTGTTTAACACAGGAACTCCTCAGAATTTTTAAAGCCACCATTGGCAATCACACATCAGCAGTGAAGCTGAAAGTAAGGGAAACTCCAGTACTTCATTGCAAGGACAACATAAACTTCATCATGTTTTCATAGACAATTATTATGAGTCAATAGCATCTGCGTACAGTTTTGTTCAACAAGTTCTTATGCAGAGAACATTACTGATTACTTTACATTCACATTACTTTTAAGTTGTTTACCCCTTTCATGCACCTTAACACTACCTCATGGAATGCATTTTCAAGCACATGGATTCTACATCGCAAGGAGCTAAACCATTTCAGTGTATGAATTTACATATTGAGCTGTGCACTTAGAGTTGGTGAGTTTGACCATCTTGCATCCAAGAAATGCAAATAATATGATATCATTCAGTAAAGTAAATGCTTCTTTTCCCACATCTTTAAGCATATAAGACATATAGTACCATAGATTCCTTTAGGTGCATCAGGCATACGGGAAGAGCACCAATATTTTTACAGACCTATCGGCACAAGATGGGTGATGTATCACACCGGCCACCATTACTTCCCGGGACTGCACCCGGATCCCACTCAAGGCTGGGAGTCAAGGTAATTTTTTTTTTTTTCAAGTCCGGCTCCGCCAGGGAGCAAACCCACTCAAGCATCTAGCCGCTGTGCGGCGGCGACTCCCTATCATTCAGTGAACATGATTATTTAAATAAGGGACACTTTTCAAATCTTTGCTGCACAGGATATGTAGTGCTAGACCTATGTTTTTATTGACCAGTCAGCACACTACACCAGCCGCCTTTATTTCTCAGTAAATTATCTGTTACCCATGTTAGGCTAGTAATATGGTGAAATATGGGTCAAAACTGGATTACAAAATGTGTATAGGTTCACTATAATATGATGTTAAGAAAACAAATCCATGGTGTAATTAATGTTTTTCAATTTTAAAAATAAATGTATGTCTATAATTTCAAACTGTCATTCAGAAATAGGGCTAAACATTCCAGTATTATGTTATGAAAGAAATGATTGAGTTTCCAAAGCAATCTGGATTATGCTGTGATGTGAATGATAAACTGTTTGAAACATTTAAGTGATATGAACACTGAGCTGTATGAATCAGTTAAGTCATTGTGAATGATGATCTGTTTGAATCAGTTTAGTGATGTGAACAGTGAGCTGTTTAAATCAGTTAAGGGATGTGAACAATGGACTGTTTAGATCAGTTAAGGGATGTGAATGATGAGCTTTTTGATTGAGTTAAGTTATGTGAAGATGAGCTGTTTGAATCAGTTAAGTGATGTGAATGATAAACTGTTTGAATAAGTTGATTTATATGAGTAATGAGCTGTTTGAATCAGTTGAGTGATATGAACTGTGAGCTTTTTGAACCAGTTAAGTGATATGAACAGTGAGCTTTTTGAATCAGTTGAGTGATATGAACAGTGAGCTTTTTGAATCAGTTGAGTGATATGAACAGTGAGCTATTTGAATCAGTTAAGTGATGTGAACGATGAGCTGTTTTAATCAGTTAACTCTTTGAGTCCCAGGGGGGCTTAGCATCACAGGCCCAGGGGGTAGTAAAGAAAGTAATCAAATCGGCACATCATATATTCATTGGGCCATGATGCGTTCCTTGGGACTCAAAGATTTGGTGATGTGGATGATTAGCTGTTTGAATCAGTTAAGGAATGTGAAAGATGGGCTGTTTGAATCAGTTAAGGGATGTGAAAGATGAGCTGTTTGAATCAGTTAAGGAATGTGAAAGATGGGCTGTTTGAATCAGTTAAGGGATGTGAAAGATGAGCTGTTTGAATCAGTTAAGGAATGTGAAAGATGGGCTGTTTGAATCAGTTAAGGGATGTGAAAGATGAGCTGTTTGAATCAGTTAAGGGATGTGAAAGATGGGCTGTTTGAATCAGTTAAGGGATGTGAAAGATGAGCTGTTTGAATCAGTTAAGGGATGTGAAAGATGAGCTGTTTGAATCAGTTAAGGGATGTGAAAGATGAGCTGTTTGAATCAGTTAAGGGATGTGAAAGATGGGCTGTTTGAATCAGTTAAGGGATGTGAAAGATGAGCTGTTTGAATCAGTTAAGGGATGTGAAAGATGAGCTGTTTGAATCAGTTAAGGGATGTGAAAGATGGGCTGTTTGAATCAGTTAAGGGATGTGAAAGATGGGCTGTTTGAATCAGTTAAGGGATGTGAAAGATGAGCTGTTTGAATCAGTTAAGGGATGTGAAAGATGAGCTGTTTGAATCAGTTAAGGGATGTGAAAGATGAGCTGTTTGAATCAGTTAAGGGATGTGAAAGATGAGCTGTTTGAATCAGTTAAGGGATGTGAAAGATGGGCTGTTTGAATCAGTTAAGGGATGTGAAAGATGGGCTGTTTGAATCAGTTAAGGGATGTGAAAGATGGGCTGTTTGAATCAGTTAAGTGATGTGGATGATTAGCTGTTTGAATCAGTTAAGGGATGTGAAAGATGAGCTGTTTGAACCAGTTAAGGGATGTGAAAGATGAGCTGTTTGAATCAGTTAAGGGATGTGAAAGATGAGCTGTTTGAATCAGTTAAGGGATGTGAAAGATGAGCTGTTTGAATCAGTTAAGGGATGTGAAAGATGAGCTGTTTGAATCAGTTAAGGGATGTGAAAGATGAGCTGTTTGAATCAGTTAAGGGATGTGAAAGATGAGCTGTTTGAATCAGTTAAGGGATGTGAAAGATGAGCTGTTTGAATCAGTTAAGGGATGTGAAAGATGGGCTGTTTGAATCAGTTAAGGGATGTGAAAGATGAGCTGTTTGAATCAGTTAAGGGATGTGAAAGATGAGCTGTTTGAATCAGTTAAGTGATTGTGAAAGATGAGCTGTTTGAATCAGTTAAGGGATGTGAAAGATGAGCTGTTTGAATCAGTTAAGGGATGTGAAAGATGAGCTGTTTGAATCAGTTAAGGGATGTGAAAGATGAGCTGTTTGAATCAGTTAAGGGATGTGAAAGATGGGCTGTTTGAATCAGTTAAGGGATGTGAAAGATGAGCTGTTTGAATCAGTTAAGGAATGTGAAAGATGAGCTGTTTGAATCAGTTAAGGGATGTGAAAGATGGGCTGTTTGAATCAGTTAAGGGATGTGAAAGATGGGCTGTTTGAATCAGTTAAGGGATGTGAAAGATGAGCTGTTTGAATCAGTTAAGGGATGTGAAAGATGAGCTGTTTGAATCAGTTAAGGGATGTGAAAGATGAGCTGTTTGAATCAGTTAAGGGATGTGAAAGATGAGCTGTTTGAATCAGTTAAGTGATGTGAAAGATGAGCTGTTTGAATCAGTTAAGTGATGTGAAAGATGAGCTGTTTGAATCAGTAAAATATTGTGAACAGTATGGCTAGTATTGTTGAATGTGCTTTGTTGTGAAGAATTCGCTTTTCAAAGGTAAGCAACTCAAAGCCAAATTTGTTTTCTTGTTAATTGTTTTGTAATTTATACAGTTATAAATTTATATATGCTAAGAGCATAGTCAGATTAATAATTATACATGAAGGTATAAGTTTTATCTACACTTTTATTACTGAAGCCATTGCTGCTTCTATTCCCATTTTTTTATTCCAGTGTTATGTTTAGACTGGTGTATACATTTTAGACAAAACTTTTTAAATTTTCTTCTTCTTCGCGTTCACCAGCTGTACACTCTGCAGAAAGTTCTGGTTGTTCGTCCACACCTGGACTGCAGTCCTGCTCCAGAACCTGAGTGTTGCATGTGCATCAGTTTTACAGATCTGATTCACTTGAATGCATACTGTTGGTTCCTTGCCTCTCAGGCAGATGCACTCCGACTTCCAAGAAAGCTACCAATTAGTCGACTCTTACGACATGCTTTCTGGTAGGCAGTGGGTCTATTCTTGTTTTCCCCCACAATGGGGCCCCGGATCCCACATGGGTATTTTTTAATTTTAAATTAACATGTGTCATTGGCATCAGAATCTGTGGCATGGGGTTTTTACAGATCTAACTTATTTGCGTTAAGACTGTTGGTTCCTCGCCTCTCATGCAGAGGCACTCAGACATAAAAGAAAGCACCCCCCTAATTAGTTTATACTTTTACAACATGCTTGTTGGAGGGCAGTTCTCCAAGCATTATCCAGCAAAAAACAAGACAAACTAATTGCAGATCTAAGGACCAACATTGGCTTACTCTCCAAGGAAGCAGAACTGGTCTTGCAGTGGAAACCAGCCCACTGGTATTCAAGGAAATGAGAGAACAGATGAGTTGGCAAAAGCTGGGAGTAATCTTCCACAACCTCATCCACCACACAGCTACAAGGAAACCAAAACAGCACTAAAGCAGTCTTTCAAGCGGGAGTGGAGAAAGCAGAATGGAGATTACAGACCAGAGAGTGACAGCATAAACAAACTCAACAGGAAAGAACAAACAACAATTTTTATA